GCGTTGCCCCCGCGCCTCGCTCAGCCAGCGAGCGGGAACCGGTCTGCATGAGGGATCCGAACACTCGGGCGGGAGCGCCGCCGTGCTTCCCAAGTGGCGCACTTATCCAGTGCGCCACCGGGCCGGCCTGTACTAGTATAACTTTTATTGTGCATCTAGTAGAAATGTCTGTCTCAAGAGAAATTTAGCTGAAGTAGCTTTTTTGCTCAAAGCAAAACTAAGCCCAGTGTAATGTAGAAAACTGAATTGTGCTGATGTGCATGTGTAATTTGGATATCAAAAGATCACACAATTTGAAAAATGCAATTCCCTGGAGAATAATTCTGGGACATAAAGAATGGGCAGAGAAAAAAAATCATAATCAAAATAAGTTTCATTGGATTTAATCCTGATACAATGCTCTGTAAAACCAATCTAAGTCAGCCCATTCTAAAATTAAATTTAAAGATTCAATTATATATGTACACCAATCTTGTAAAATAAATTTTATGATTCTCACTGTACAAGTGAGTAGATTATAGCGAATTATTTTACATAATTGCTGAAAGACCTAGAATTCTAGTATGCTATTCCAGTACTCAGTCCACTGATATACAACCTCAGGTGTTTGGATGTCAGCAAGAAACTTTTTAGTCATTCATTTGATGTTTAATGTTATTAAATATGAAAATAGCTAGTGGAATTCAGGTGTAAATTAACCGGTTGACCTGGTGGTTTTTGAAAAAGAGTTCAGCCCATGAGCGAACACTCCTGTCTTCAATTTGATTCGGCAGTGAATGGCATGAACGCTTGTCACTGTCTACTGACATGCTGCCGGATAGTCATGAGTGCAAGAATGTATATATATGAAGTCATAGTTCATGTTCCCTTGATTCACAAAATTGTTCATTCTATTAAAGTGATATGAACTGTAATTTTATAAATTTCTTCAAGTTTGTTCTATAAGATTTCCACATGGAAAATGTCACTGAAGTTACCGTATTTGTACTGAAGGGCTTCATAGACAATGTTGGACTGCAGATCATCTTTTTATTCTTGTTTCTAGCAATTTACCTCTTTACTCTTGTGGGAAATTTAGGACTGACTGTATCAGTCATTGGAGATTCCTGGTTTCACAACACTATGTACTATATTCTGAGTGTGTTGTCCTCTGTGGATGCCTGCTTTTTCTCAGCTATTACACCAAGTATGTTAGTAGACTTTATGTCAAAAAATAAAGCCATTTCATTTTCTGGATGTGCAGGACACATGCTTTTCTTTGATACTTTAAGGACTATGGAACACTTTCTCTTGGCTGCAATGGTGTATGATCATTATGTAGCCATCTACAACCAACTTCTGCATTCAGTGAGCATGTCTCTCAGTCTATGTGACACTCACCTATGCTTTGTATGTTGTTGGTGTTTTACATGCTACTACACACACAGTGGCCATATTCAGCCTGTCCTTCTGTGGACCCAATGAAATTAGACACATCTTTTGTGATATCCCTGCTCTTCTCACTATTTCTTGTTCTGACACTCACACAAACCAGCTTCTACTTTTCTACTTTGTGGGCTGTATTGAGATATCCACTATCCTGATTTTCCTGATGTCCTATTGTTTTATTCTGGTGGCCATTCTGAGGACACACTATGCTGAATGGCTCTCACCTAACCAGAGTGTCCATTTTTTTTTTTCCTTTTTGTCTTTTTTCGTGACCGGCAACAGATCGCAACCCTCAGTGTCGCGCCCGTACCAGACCGGGACCAGCAACGGGATCGCAACCCTCGGTGTTGGGCCCGCACCTCGCTCAGCCAGTGAGTGGCCGGTCTGTATGTGGCAGTGCGCCACCGGGCCGGCCCCCAGAGTGTCCATTTTTCATCCAACCATTTTCTTCCTGTACGTGAGACCAAGGTCCAACTATGCTTTGGAGCATCGCATTATAGTGTCAATATTCTACACCATTGTTATTCCCATGCTGAATCACATCATCTATAGTTTAAGGAACAAAGACATAAAATTGGCAATGCAAAAAGTGTTTGGGAAAATTTGGTTTATCGATAAAGTACATTTTTCAGAGTGAAAATTAAATTGAAAAGACATGAGAGTGATATTTTCTACTGCAATATCAAGGGAGTATGATGAAATGTTAGCTTTATTAGTTTAATTGTGTTCATCTTGGACATTTTATTTTTTATTATTTTTTATTTTACTTCTCAAAATACACTGTACTTGATTTTCATAACCCTTTACCCCTTCCTTTTCCCCTTCCCCTCACCCCCCATTGTATCTGTTCTCTTAACTTTAATAGTTCAAGGAATTTTTGTAGTTATTCTGTCTCCCCCCACCTTTATTTGTTTGTGTGTTTATTTATTTATTAATTTTTAGCTCTCACAAATAAGTGAGAACAAGTGGTATTTCTCTTTCTGTGCCTGACTTGTTTCACTTAATATAATTTTCTCTAAGTCCATCCATGTTGTTGCAAACGGTAGTATTTCATTCTTTTTTACACCATAGTAGTACTCTATTGTGTAGGTGTACCACAGTTTCCTTATCCACTCATCAGATGATGGATATGACATCTGGGCATGTTCCAGCTCCTGGCTATTGTACATGGACCTGCAATAAACATTTGAGTACAGCTATCCCTTCGACACTATGATTTCCATCCCTCCGGGTATATTCCCAGCAGTGGAATAGCTGAGTCATAAGGTAGATCTATCTGTTGTTGTTTGAGGAGCCTCCATATCATTTTCCATAAAGGCTACACCGTTTTGCAGTCCCACCAACTGTCTATGAGATTTCCTTTTTCTCTGCAACCTCTCCAGCACTTATCATTCTCAGTCTTTTGGATGTTAGCTATCCTAACTGGAGAGAGTTGGTATCTCACTGTGGTTTCGATTTCCATTTGCCAGGTGTTGAGTTATATTAAGCATTTTTTCATGTGTCTATTGGCCATTAGTGTATCTTCCTTTGAGAAATTCCTGTTCAGCTCCTTTGCCCATCTTTTAATTGGGTTAATTTTTTTGGCTGTAAAGTTGTTTGAGTTCCTCGAATATGCCAGTTATTAATCCTTCATCGGATGTATATTTTGCAAATGTTTTCTCCCACTCTGTTAGTTGTTTGTTTGCTTGTTTTTACTCTGTTTCTTTTGCTGTGCAGAAGCTTTTTAGTTTGATATAATCCCATTTGTTTATTTTACCTTTAGTTGCCTGTGCTTTGGGGGTTCTATTCATGAATCCTGTACTCACTCCTAGTTCCTGGAGTGTTTCCCCTATGTTTTCTTTAAAATAAAAATTGCTGGCAATCCTCTACACTATTTTTACAAGGAAAAAAAACTGTGTTATCTATTTGTTTTTACTATGTTCAAGCTAATAGATGTATATACCAATTATATATGTTTATATACATATATTTACATATTTATGTACATGGAAGCTAATACTAACTGATATACACAAAATGCCATCATACAAGAATTTATGTATGCAATCTTTACATTAAAATACTATATGTTATTTTCTTTCACCACCATATAACTTTAATTGTATAGACTCACAGAGTTGTAATTACAAATCATTTTCTAGTTATACCTGACTAGCTTAAACACCACTTAATCCACAGAAAAACCACTTACCCGAGCTCATATAATTTTCTATGGAGTCATTTGTGTCTGACCCCAGTTCATAGCAATCTGTTCCATCCTTAGGTCTCATTTGCAGCAATTTAATCACAGTCTGTGGTTCAGACACCACAGATAATGTGTGCAAATTCCTAGGTGTCACTAGTGCACTAATTTGTGAGAATGTATTTCTTTATATTTTACTGTGTTATCCAGAGCACAGACAAAACAAGTTCCATAATTTTTCACAAGAAATAGACACTAGATATCAATATTTATCAAAATTATACTTAAACTCAAGAACAAAAAAAGAAAAGCAAAACTCAAAGATACTCCTGGCTGGCAGATACAGTTCTTTCCAGAACTAAGCCCCCTCCCAATCTTGTTGGATTCCCTATATGCCCAGCAGCTACTCAGCTTTTGACTCTGTTTTCCTTTGACCCATACACTCTGTGATGCTCTTACACATGCCACCATTCCTCACTGCCCAGACCCAAGAAAGAAGGTACAGAAAAGGGTCTGAACTACACTCGCATTTAGCCCTGCTTCCAACAGAACTTATTTTCATCACCAATCATCTGTGTCCTTCAAAAACAGGCTTTAGTGGTAGTGTCTTTTTTTCCCTTCCTTATTCCTTATGAATTTAGATTATTATTTTGTGAATCATTCTCTTCAAAGAGTTCCCTGCATTCATTAATCACAGCAATATAAGTGCTGACCATTAGCTCAGTTGGTTAGATTGCAGTGTTATAACACCAAGGTCAAGGTTTCAGATGCCCATAGTGGCCAGTCACAAAGTAATGAACAGTAACACAATATCCTTAGAATGTAGAGTGCAACCAAAGGATATTTTCCTAAAATGTACAAATACAGACACCTCCTACAGTAATATATTGTATATTTCTACACAACACCTATTAATTTTTTTTTTTTTTTTTTTTTTTTTTTTTTGGTCTGCACGTCCCTCTGCTTTGATATCACATGGTTCTTTCAAAGTCCAAACCAAATCTTGGTTGTTGACATTCATTATCTGTGTGTATTAAAATCATGCAAATATGGGCCACCCCTGTGTATGTGTGTTTATAAATAAGTGTATGTAATTAAGCATGGAAGAGATCCTTAAACACAACTCAAAATCACAGAGAATGATAAATTTTATGCCAAAAATTTTTTAAATTGTACATCATCGAAATAATAACAAACATACTAAAAGAATTAGCTGCAGACTTGAGAAATGGATACAATTATACATCTGTTGAATTAATAAATAATGAACAAAAAATCCATAGGACAATGAATAAAGTACGCTACCTATGGGCAATTCACCAAAGAAGAAACCTCTTATGGATAATGCATATATTTTAAAAATGATTTGGAAAATGTATATGTAAATATAAAATGATATAAAACCCTCTTACACACATAAAATTGACACAAATTTAAAAGTTGGTGATTGACTTAGGTTAAATTGTTCAGTTTTGTACTCGTCAGTCCACAACTTTTCCACCTCTCCCTTTCCATCTCCTCTCCCACCCCTTCCACAGTCTCTAGTAACCATTATTCTACTCTCTACTCCTACATTTTTTTCTTTTTTTAGATTTTTACTCATGCACTATATCATGCAGTATTTGTCCTTTTGTGCCTGACTTACTTCACTTAATGTGATGGCATCATGTTCCATCCATGTTGCTGCAAATGATAGGATATCATTTTATTAAATAGCTGAGTAGTATTCCATTGTATATATATAACACTTATTCTATCCATTCATTGATGGACATTTAAGTTGATTCCAACTCTTGGTTATTGTGAACAGTGATGAGATGAACATGGGAGTGCAAGTGTCTTTTTGATATATTGATTTCATTACTTTTGACTATATATACAGGTATGATGTAGCTGGGTTGTAGGGTGGACTTATTATTAGTTCTCCCAAGAAATTCCTTATTATTTTCCATAGTAGCTGTACCAATTTAAAAACCCACCAGCAATGTAGGAGAGTTCCTTTCTTTCCACAGCCACACCAGCATTTTTTATTATGGATAACATCCATTCTAACTACAATAAAATTATTTCTCATTTTGAGTTTAATTTGCTTTTCTCTGATGATTAGTAATTTTGAGCATTTTTTCATGTGCTTATTGGCCAGTTGTATGTCTTCCTTTGAGAAGTGTATGTTCGGGTCCTTGCACATTTGTTTATTGG